ACACGACACACGCACGAAAACAAGACGAGGTGTGGTCGTGGTGCAATGGTGCAATCCCACGAACGTGTGCCTCGTGTGGTGTTGCGCGTAAAACAGAAGTGCAGCCGAAAATTGTTCATCGTTCAAATATGGATCTGTTGAAAGGAAAAATGTGACAACACAAAAACCGGCTTTTGCACACATCGTACCAATGATTGTGATTGTGATGTAGACCCGCAACACGAACCCGTTTGCAGGGACAAATCTGTATCTGTAGACGATGGACACGTATAATCCACCCCGAAACGCACGCCGTTTGTGTCCCCAACAAGCGTCACCGGTCAAGAGAGCTCAAAAACACGCGCTCCCTGACGCGCGGGGACCGAACAAACTGTGAGCAACTGCAACTTATTCGGGCTTTGCTGTGGCTGGCAGCAGTGATGTGTATGCACAAAAGTGAAAGCTTGCTGCCGCGGCACAGCTAATTTCTACATCAAGAGGACGACCGCGGATCATCATTTTCGACTCTTTCCATCTACTGGGGATCGAGGAAAAAAACAGCCGAAAAGAGACCAAGAGACACGCTGCTGCTGCTGCAGAGAGGGGAAAGGAAGCCAAGGCTTTGCTCCCACAGGCTCGGGTGCCGTGCCAGCCCTGCTACGTGCGCTAGCCGCTGCTGCGGGGCCTAAACCGAGTCTTTTCTGTTGGAGGATCGATCCCTCGATGTGCAAAACACAAAATACTCCCGCCGGACAAACGTTTGTAGACACAAGCAGGACGGAAAATCTCGCTCTCTCTGTCGTCTGTCGTTTTATCTCATTTTGATGTCAACACTACGCCGTAGGTTGCCCGACCTGAAGTGCCAAACTTGCTCTTTAAGGCACAGCCTCGGCCTTAGCGAGGGCCTTCGCGTGTGAGGGAGTCTCACTACTCACCACGGTGGGCGTCTGTTTGCCGATCTCGGATGACCATGATGTGGGCAATCGGTCCCGCCTGCTCAAACAGAGGCCGCAACTGGTCCTCGTCCATGTCCTTGGGTACCTACAGCAGACAGCAGCAGCAGCAGCGGCCGCGGTTGGCAAAAATCAGCAACAGCAGGTCATCCGTGCCTCCTTTCTTTTGCCACAAACGAACGCAGCACTAGAGATTGTCGAGGATCACGGCGGCATGCCGGCCCAGCGCTTGTTGCCGCTAGCCAGCTGTGTTGCAATGCACAGGTGGATGCTGGAGGGCAGAGCAGACACCGGGAAGCCTCTGTTTGAGAAGAAAAGAGGGTCATCGAAATTGCAGCCGCCAACAACACAGCTCGCTCTGCCGCCCGAGACACAAAGAGATGGGTTACACCCACACCCACTAAAAACACACACAACCACCAAGGCAACCGCCGAAATCGCAACACGAGTGGGGTACTCGGCGGGGCTGGAGTGACGCTGCCGCAGCACGACTCCTCTTGCATGGAGATCCATCGGAGACAACAAGACAGGGTTGCCGTGTGTGATGCAACGACGTTTTATGGCATAAAAACACACTATATATCTCTCCCTCTCTCTCTTTGCTTCGCTCGCCTGTCCCACGAATAGCTTTAGCGGTGTGCCTTCCATTGTTGCTCCTGATTCGGGATAGTGCTGCTCGATTGATGTTGCCATCCCTGCCAGAGACACACACGCCAGGCCCAGACTCCAGTCTTAACGCTACACTCCAAGAAGAAGAGTGTTTACAGACAGCAGCAGCAGCAGCAGCAGCAGCACCAGCGAAACAGCAGTAGTCAGCCGCTCGCTCTCGCCACCGTCTTTCTTAATCTCTTGCTTCTTGTCGTCTCCGTGTTTTTTTGCGAACAACACCAACAACTTTGCTGCCCCCCGCGTTCGCGCTTGCTGCGTGGCGCGTGCTCTTTCTGTGTGCACAGGGACACGCCGGCACTCCCACGCCCTCAGATGTGCTCGGCAACGACCCAGCAACCGCTAGCAGGCTCACTCCTCCTCCCTTTGAGTGAGAGAAGAAGAGATGTATGGAAGTAGGTATGTACCTGGCTGTTGGCTTCTCAAAGCGGGTAACCGCACCGGGACTAATGACGTCTTTTCATTGGTCAGCCGGTTGGCGCGGTCGACACACACAGGAACAGAAATTATTTTGTGTCATAGACCAGTCGGCCGCAAGCAACAATCCTATTACATGTGTTGGCCGTGAGAGTGTTGTTGTACATCACACCACCATTGTTGTGTTTGCGGTGCCTCCCTCGCAAGTGTACTACAGCGAACCAACCAGTACTGTAGGTAGACTACGCCCTGAGGCACCGGCGTGGTGATCTAGTCTGCAGATCACTCAGATATGTCCTCCAGGGGGAGACACATCGCAGATATATGCATTCTACAGTAGACATTGGAGATCTGATTCTTCTTTTTGGAGGGTTTTTCCCCCCAGCGAGGGTGATGTCTACAGCATTTAGTTACACACAAGAGGTACAGCAGTTCGTTGCTGTACGTTGATCAGGGTCTATTGCAGCAAGTCTAGACGTGAAGGACTTAGTTGATGTGTGTAGGCTCTCCAGGACACGGGGGGTATCGTACACAACGTTTGCTGCGTGCCTTTGTTCCTGTGTTTTTGTCAGTTGCGGAATATACTGTCTTCTACACAAGGCACCCCACCGCACAGCAACAAGTTCCTTCCAAACATCATCACTCACTCGCGCGGGAGAGATGCCATTTTATTTCATTACTCAAACGACGCTTTGCCTTAGACTTGGGAGCATACTACAACAATAACATATCCACTCGTCACCAGCTGTGAGTCGCCGAAGTATCATTATCGGTAGAGCAGACACCACCTACTGAATAGAGGCCTCTATAATAGTCGAATAATGTTGTAACACTTGTGTACGAAACACCGACAGTGTGCAAGCAGCAGTACTTGTACCTTTTTTTTTGTACGCACATGCATCTACCACATGCAAAAGTTGGACGTTCCAGGTTGGCACGTACGTACCGTGCCTTGACTCGTGTGGCTGGGTTCTTGTTGTATAGACTTGAATAGTCTCCTCGCTCACCATCGCGTGGTCGTAACCCGTGGCCCTCAACGCGCGACTGCAGACAGTTCGACCGACTTGGTGGTGGTCCGGCTGCCGGCGCCGCAAAAGCTAACTGCAGGTTTGCTCGCCTGCTGCAACCCTTCTTCCTTCACGAAAATTAAAAGCCCTCACGGGACCTTGGAAACTTTGATTCGATCGGGTGTACATAGTACAGGTGCAAGACACACAAACAGGACTATTATGATGATGTGATTCACAATCCTATCGTGAATGCCCAACATAATGTACTGAATGAATATGCCATTAAATAACAGCGAGAGCACGAAGCAGTTTTGGCGCCCGAAGAGACGCGACGAAACGACGTCAACTACATACAGCAGTAGCTTCCGGATCGAGCCTCAACCTCCTACTTGTGGAGACATATTGCGAACAGCCGCCCCGGTCGCTGCTCAGTCAGTCACACTACTAGACTACAACCTTCGAAGGAAATAGAAGTATGTAGTCTCAATCTCAAAAAAATACTCTACACCTGTGACAAGTAAAGACCCTGCACGTCGAGCTGTCAGCTCTATTGAGCCAATCTGAGTCTCTGGGGGCGCCAACAACTACTACGCTGCCTCAACGAAAGTATTTGCTGTACGGTCTCTCTCCGTGTCGTGGCCATGCGTGGTGGGTCCGAGATCGATCCGAGATCAACGTGTCGGTCCCTGCGGGAATCACCATGATCATCAATTCAACTCGACATCACGAAAAATTTCAGCATCAGACGTGCAGCTGCGGCGAAGAAGATACATAGATCGACTAGACGGGAAAACTCGCGGGCGGAAGTCTAAAGTCTTGTTTTGAAAATTCGCAACAAAACAAGGCAGGCCATCGCATGAATCATGACTCATGCTGCCGACCTTCGGGAGATGATGCCATCGGCCTTAAAGCTTTCTATGGACACAGGTTCGAACAATACAATCGTAACCGTGCTACAAAATACCGAAAGCACCCAAGTCAACCACAAAGACAAGACTGAAACAACGCGTGGTATACGGCCAATCACACCTCAATACCTCAATAGCTCAATCAGCGACAATGGCGGTGGCACGGCGTAGCTGTAGTTTGCCCACAGGTGAGAAGAAAATAAGGAACAAGTGGCACACCCGGACGTCATACTTTTCTGCAGACCGGCGGAATCGGATGCCGTTGCATGCACGTGCGAAAAACTAGACGCCAGCACGCGCACACATTCCCGCTCCTGCTGCTCAACATCCTGGACCGACGGCAAGCAAGCGCAGTGGCCTGCAAACGCGTAACACCGTTTGTGTCCGCCAGTACCGACGGTGTTTGGGACTAACTGCATTCTAAGCCTCAATCCACCTACCCATAGCCCAGAGTTTTCGACGACACATGCGACAACTTCAGCATTTGGGGGCAAACCGGAAAGACGTGCGATAGACTACATTAGCACCCCAAAGCTCGGGCTCAAGCCCGAGCTCCAAACACAGCACACACCAGCCACTCCACATCTGACTCGACGACAAAAGCCGGATCAAACTAGATCGTGGTTAAAAAAACCAACTTGTTCATCCTGGGCAGAAGGTGGGTGTCCAGCGTCAAGGGGGCAAGCACGCATCGACATGCATCTCTCGTCAAGCAACGATGAACAGTCACGATAGAGAAGTACTACTACTGCAGCGCCATTTCCAATACAGTGAAACACATGCTTGGAGAGACACATCTTGCAAGTCTCTGGGCAGTCTTCATGTTGCCGATTACATCACTCACTCAGGCCGTAAATTTACGACTCGTCTGGTGAAATCGCACCACTAAAAAATGACACCCGTGTGAGAAAACGGGGGACCTAGACTTACCAACCAGACGGTACTCTGTACGGCTTTCGACCGACACTCACCTGACCAGTGCACTGCGAAATAAGTACCGGTAGGGTTGTTGGATCGGGAGAACTAGCCTGGCCTCTCCATCCTACCCAAACCCACGCCAGAACAACAACAGCAACAACAGCAACAACGACCGTGAACACCGCATGCTGCATCGCTGTATCAAATACACACGGTACGGTTATTTCTCTGCTACACAACAGCCAAGTGTAACCGCCACACCCACGTTGATACGAGAACATGCGAGCTCGCTGGGGTTTGACAAGGTTGCCCTCGGCACAAGCAAACTCGACACCGTTCGGCCTTTGACGGCTCCCTTCTTTCTACCTAGTGTGCAGTACGCGTGCAAGAAAACGACACGGTAAAAACCGTTTCCACTAATTGTACGGTATACCGAATCTCGACAGCGACGCAGCTGCTATGCCTTCCGGAATGGCCGATGATGTAGCAGACCGCAATCTCGCGTACCATCCCCTCTCCCCTCCTCCTCTTCCTCCATTGTTCCATCCCGTTCCACGAAAGCGGCAATGGCCAAACCATTTGTTATTGTGATGACGGACAGTCAAGGGTGCAGCGCAAGAGGGGAGGGAGGGTGTCAATTGCGACCACGAATAGGACCTCAAGACATTGCATTCCGAATGCATACTACACGACGCCACCGTGCACATATGTTTGTAATCGCGAGAGAGACGATGAGCGTGAACTCGCTTCGTTCGTTTCTCTTTCCTCAAGGCTCGTGTGGAACATCGGAGGGCCAGGCTCCCAACACATCTAACCAAATGTCCCTGATATATCCCACTAAACGAGGCACTTGGCACTTTTCGTACGGGGATACTCGCAGGTCTCGGCATGCGTTGTCCTGGTATCATGGTAAAGACCGCTGCTATTCGATTGAAGTAAGGGTCTTCGGTAAAGAAGCGTCGATCTGGGGTCGACGTTCAACTACGATCGAGCACTAAATATTGTAGAGATTAGTGTAGGATCCACGGCCGGGGTGTATTTCTTGGTCGATTTTTCTTAGCCGTAGCCAACATCTGAGCCTTTGTTTCTACAATATACGGTTTGTTTCTGAATCGTGTGCGCTAGGTTTACTCACTGTACTCGAGACTAGTCCGCACCAGCACAAGTACATTGTACTGGTACCCAACACAAATGTGACGAACCGATCAACACAGGCGCGACAGCACACATGGCGAAATTCTGCTCAGCGCACCCCAATCACGACCATGCACTAGAGGGGCGCACACAAGCACACAAGATCCAGAACTGAATGCAATTCGAGTCGTCATCACCCTCCGCTCGACGGTCTGCCTGTCTCAAGCTCGCGTGCACACACATACACATCGCCCACCGCATGCCGCTAGAATGCAATACAATGCAATGTAGGACATCTGTGTTCGTTGATTGCTCGTAGTGCCCCATTGGAGTGCCCCTGCGGACCCTCCTCCGCTCAAGGGGGGCTGATCTAAACCAAGACTCCGGGTCATTGTCGGGGGCTACGTGGTATGCTTTAGGCAATCACACGATACAAAAGGTTGTTCCGAGCACCCGAAAAATAGTTCATCTGCGTACGTAGGTGTATCGCGTCCCTGCTGCTGGAACAATAGCACTTGCGCGGAGCAGGGCCTCAGGAGAAAGTGCAAGCTCGGGCTCGGCGTCGAAATACTCTGTAGCGCCTCTATTGGCTCGCTGGCCGCAGCACTTTGAGTGGAGTCTTGAAGGCAGTGAGTGACTCGTGTTTCCGCCGTCCCGGTAATAACCAACAACAAGGTTGGGTTGATATGCGGAATAATTACCGGGACGTACATAACCCTGTATGCTACGGCGGACACGAACCACTGCATGAAGGAGGGGGCGTGATCGAGCAGCTACCACAGTCTTGAACGCTCAGAGAAGAGAAGAACGAACTCGACCTCACGGACAGGAGCGAGACACGTGCCACCCACGACACCCCCCCACAACTTCACACGGCACAGCAGGCAAAAAAAAGGCACGACGCCAGGAGACGTGCTTCTATTGGTGCCACGCGGCCGGAAGGCATATCGGCAAACCATACGCGTCAAGGCATTTCGGCACACGTACTATTTACTCCATTCGTTTACCACTCCCTCGAAAACACGCGTTCCGTTCCTTCCATTTTGGCCACAAACAACTTACGGGAAAGAGAGAAAGAGCACACTCCAAAGCCGAGTACTCCAACAACGACCGCCATTTCGACCAGTTCAACACGCTACTATTTCGACACAATCAACGCCCACGCCAACCCTAACCCAATCCCTAACCTAAGGCTTACCGCGAACGAATGTGCCCGGAAGGCAACCCGGCCAGCCCGCTACAAGAAGCTCACGATGTCGCGAAAAACCCCCTCCTCTCGTAGCAGCAGGAGACGCTCCACCGCCACCACAAACCCTGGCCTCTCCTCCGCCCCCGGCACCTCCACCTTCCCAGCCGCAGCAGGGCCGCCCTCGCGCAACAGGCTCTCTCGTCCTAGCCTCAACTGGGGCGGCTGCACCACGCCCGGCCCCACCGTAGGCGCCGCTCCCGCCCCAGCAACGCCATTCTCACGCCTACCGAACAAGCAGCACAGCTTATCCTTCGAGAAGTTCTTCCGAGATGACGGAGACAACCCCGCAGCCACCGACCCTTCCGTGCGGGCGCCGCTGGCTCTCTTGCCTCCCCCCTGGGATTGAGGAGCCTGCCCCTTGCCCTTTCCGCTCGAAGAAGGGGCGCCCGCCTTCGATGCCGCGCTTCCGCCCCCTCTCGCCCCCCCTCCTCCCGCCTTTGCTCTGCGCCTCTTGTTAGCAGGACCCTTTCCTGAGGACACAGCAGCAGCAGCACCAGCAGCACCTCCAGCAGCAGCACCACCAGTGCCAGCGCCGGCACCACGGCTGCTGCCGCCGCCGCTGCATGCCGAAGCAACTGGCGCCAGGAGCGGCTTCCTCTTCTCGGCTACCCTGGCCAGCCACCGGGCGCGACAGAGCACCAGCCAGCCCCTACGGCGCCAGACGCGGTCGGCCGGGGCGTTGACGAGCATCGAGCGGATAGCGGTGTCGACGAGCTCCTTGCTCACGAGGGCCTCGTTGGACAACAGCTCCTCCTCCACCGAATGCCCCACCAGGTCGTGCGCGGTCAGGTTGTCGTAGTTGGTGGCGGTTTCGTCGGCGCCCCAACGCAATAGCAGCTGCACCGTGTCCGACTGAGAGAAGCTGCACGCGCGGTGCAGAGCCGTAGCCCCTTCGTTATTCCTGATCTCGAGGTTCGCGCCCGTCTGTAGCAGAGCTTGCGTGGCCGCGTACGCCCCCCGGGTAGCCGTGCAGTGGAGGTTTGTGTTCCCGGCCGACCTCGTCGTGTTCACGTCTGCACCGAGGTCTACGAGGTCGCGGATGGTGTCGGTCTTGTTGGCCTTGGCGGCGTAGTAGAGGGCCAGGCTGCAACGCCGCTTGCGGTCGGCCGGAGACTCGCCCGCCGTCAGGATCTGCAGGAGCTGGCCGGAGTGGCCGTTCCACGCAGCGGTGTCGAGGCAGCTCAGGCCCTTGGAGCAGACGCGGCCTACCGTGGCGCCGCCCCGCAAGAGGGCGATGCAGGCCCCGAGACGATGCAAGCGAGCCGCAACGTGCAGCGCTGCAACAATAAACCAACAAGAGGTGACGCAGCAACATCTATTTCGTGGTTGGAATTTGGTTTCCAGCTGGCACGACACTATAGTAAGGCCGAATAAACAAGCACAAAAACAGCAGCAGCAGCAGCAGCAGCAGCAGCAGCAGCAGCGCCCTGGAAGATTTCGGTGCCGACGCTGGGGTGGACGGGACGCAGACCAATGGGCACTGCAGGCAAACTCCGTATCTACCCTATCATAGGGAAGACGACTGATGATACTACGCTACGTACCGTACAGTAGTCACAGAGGGCGTTGGAACAAGCCCTGGATGCATCCAGAAAAAAACATTTCACACTGCTGTCGCCGCCTCGCCGCACCTGTCTGTCCAGCGCCGTTACACATCCCCACGGGAGCCCTGCCGAGGGTCAGCAGGTCCTCGATCACTCCGGCGTGGTTGCTTGCCGCCGCCAGGTGGAGCGGCGAGTCCCCCGTCGAGGCGATCTTTAGCCACGACTTGGCCCCCTTGAGCAGGAGGAACACCACCACCCCGCGATACCCGGCGTTCGCCGCGATGTGAAGGGGCGTCCACCCGCGCGTGTCCGCCACGTTGACCACCGCCCTGGGGTCGCTCGCGATGGCCCTTACAGCGGCGTCGCAGCCGGACATGGCGGCAACGTGGAGCGCCGTTCGGTCGTTCCGGTCCTTGTCCACCTCGTCCACGCTTGCCCCGGACTTGAGGACCTCCTCGATGACGCCCGCGTTCCCGCTGCCCGCGGCGGTATGCAGGAGGAGCCTGAGTCGCATGCCGTTGGACGGCGGGTCGGTCCCCACGCCCGCGGACAGCAAGCGCTTCACGACGGCCAGGTTGCCGCTGGCCGTGGCGTACTCCAGCGGCACCTTGAGCCAGTCCTCCAGCTCGCGGGGCGGGGCGCGCGAGCTGCCGCTGAAGACCAGGTCCACGAGATCGGACTCCATCCCGCGGATCGCCTCCCGCATGGCGTCGGCAGACGTGTAGGCGGGGTTGTCGCAGAAGGGGGCGAGGGACCCTATGGAGGACGGTGAGGGGGGCGCGCAGCTGCCCATGTCGGTGTCGGTTGTAGACCCGGCTGCTGCTACCGCCGCCGCCGCCGCCGCCGCTGCGGCTGCAGCATCTTCAGCATTCGCCATCAATCGCACCTAAATAGACCGGCTGTGATCCGTTAGTTTGCTGTCGATGATGCCTCTCTTCTCCGTTGAGAAAAGCACGCACCTTCGACATAAGCAGTGAGAGGGAGAGGAACAGCAGTCAGTCAGGGATATAAGGGCTCACATGTTCGACATACCAAGCAGTGAGAGAGAGAGAGAAACAGCAGTCGGTCAGGGATATAAGGGCTAAAATAACCTACAAGCACATGTATGTGCGTATGTCAAGCAGCGCTCTTGTTTCGGGAGCCGTTGCGGGGTGTTTACTTTTCCGTCTATATGATAGTTCACGCAGAGACTGACAAGTCAGGAGATTTTTCTGTGCCCAGGACTCATCCTTCCTCTCAATGGCAGCTCCTGGAATCAACCCTCAGCCTCTGTGAACAGTAGACGAAATCATCCAAGAGAGGAAAGAAGGTGTGTCGTGTTAACCTTTCGGAGTTGAACCGCTGTGTGACGACTGAGTAGGTCGTAGGAATACTGCTGCAGTAGACCCGCCGCCGTTCCAACGGACGAGACCCCCTTCCAACACAACGTTCTTTCGCGTTCCCTTTAAGCGTAAGTGCCCTTACTTCCGCATTCCGCGAGGAGGCAAGCACCGACTACAAGCGCCATCCACGCGCAAGGCCTATTCATACGATGGTGGCGTGTCTCCACGCATCACGTCGTGTAGTAGACAATGTATCGCCGCAGGCTGCTCCGCGTGAAAAGGCACACCCTATTTTTTTTTGTTGATTCACAACACTGGTTGAACGACGGGTTACATGCCTCGCAAGTTTTTCGTTTGTACCTGGAAACGCCTCTCGCCGCTGTTGATCTATACAGGCCTACGAGATCTCCCCAGACTAGACGCGAAACTCCAAAAGCCACATGGAACCGGGTGTGTTTGGACGCGAAATCGGCGGGTGCGTGTGTTGTGAGACTTGATTCGCCGATGTGACACACGACGATGTTCCGCACAGCAGCGCGCACTGGTCCCTTCACGAGTTGCGAGCATGCCCAACCGACTAAACAATTCCCACGACTCTGTTGCCCACGAGAAAACACACGCAGACACAAGCTGCTTACCTTTGTAGCACTGGAGGTCGAGATTACCAAGCGAGGATAAATGTATGTAGGTCAGGCTGTCAGGCCCGAGCAGTCCGGCGGAGGGAGGGGGTGCGCAGAATGTAAAAGGCGGTGCCGCTTCTCCGTCTGTCCGTCTGTCCCATCTTCGCACACCGCATAACTGTGCGCAGCCAGCAGAGCAGCCAGCACAACCGTCTGTCGTTGTCTGCCATCAACGACGCTGCTTCAATCATGGCGGGTAGACGTGTCGCTTGCTATGGTGAGCCTTGATGTTCGTGTTGTTGTTGATGATGCAGCCGCATTGCTACAGCAGTACACACACATGTGCTACCCGACCTTCCCTCTCTCAGCACGAACCACGCGCGGGCCACCACTCTCCTGCCTCTCTGATGATGTACTTACGCTGTGCTACGACAGGTCCCCTGAGCAACCACCACAAGTGCAGAGCTGACGAGAATACGATAGCGCTCATCACCAGGGGAGCATTCGCTCTAGTTGCTCCAGGTTGAGTGTACTCGTCCCACCACACCCACATTAATAGAGTCAGCGCGTGAGCGTAGCTTGGCGCACAAGCATTCTGCTGCTGTACTTTGTACTTAAGTCACGTCTAACCCAGTGACCCGATATCCAATCGCGTGATCCTCTTCGTCCTCGGTACTGGTACCAGGTAAAACACTGCTGTGGTCTCGTGCGGCAGCGAGACCACACTCTGGAGTGCCCGCTGTGGCGAAGACCATGGCGGCTGCGACGGGGGCGAGGGCAGCGCGGGTTTCGCACGCGAGAAGAGAGCTGAGCTTCTCCTTCCCGGGCCCTCGCAAGCTCGAAGACATCACCAACCTCCCGCTCCTGGCAAAGGTGTGCCCGCCGGCGACGCCCGAAACGTTCTTGCGAGTTGTCGAGGCCTTGAGGGTTCGACGAAGGTGGCACTCTGATGAGGCTGCGAGTTTCGAAATGTAATGCTCTCCAGTCTTGGCTTCACAACTCCTATGTTTGGAGTGTTTGGAGACGATTATTCCATCGAACACAGCAGTGATCGTGATGGAACAGACCCCACTGACGGGCCGCCGCGTACTATGTTCCTTGATGCCACTACTCCATCGCCTTTCCACTCGATATATGGTTCATGTCGGCGTAGCGGCGCAAGTCTACCCTGTTGGACGGCGCGTCGGTCCCCACGCCCGCGGAGAGCAAGCGCTTCACGACGGCCAGGTTAGCCGCTGGCCGTGGCGTACTCCAGCGGCACCTTGAATGGCTAAACCCTTTTCGAACGCGCTCGGTAGGCCAGGCGATGTTCTTGCGCCTGGCCTCATGCCTGTTGATCCCCTCGCTGAAGGAATTCCTTGTGCTCTCGTGATGTTTGCCTCATACTTGAATCACACACCCGTCGCCCGAAGGAGGAGAAGGAGAGCATAGCGGACATCTGGACAGCCTATCACGACGAGAGAGCGGACTCGCTGGGCACGGTAATACCGGGAGACTCCCTTGGCGATCTGCAGGCGAAGGCTAAGAAGTGGTGAGCCGCTTAGGGCTAGGGTAGGCCAAGAAGCCAAAGCGAAGCCAACTCAATTGTCGGCTCAGCAAAGCAGCGCATTGCATTCGTTCTAGGCGAGCGTGTATCGGGTGCTGAGTAGAGACCGACGCAAGTTTTCTTGTCAAAGCAACAATCCCGTTTTTCTCTCGCGGCTGGGAGTAGGTATGAACGGTAGCGGTCGGCCAGCGGAGGGCCGGGCATGCATTCATCCCGTCTCTTTGGTTGTTGACTTTTATTCAACTCTTCGTTTGTCTCCCCATCTTTTCTACTACTGTAGGACAGACTGCTCGGCCCGTGTCGTCACCGGCTCCTACTCTTTGTAAGAAAAAGTCCTATTCTCTGTATTATAGTAGAAGTTCTGTTATTTGTGAACGAAGTCCTTTTCTTTGTAGAATAAGTCCTTTTCTGTGTTAGAACAGTCCTATTATTTGAAAAGCAGGGAAACAGCTCTCTGTAGAGAATACATGTAGCACGCTCACTCACTGAGGGAGAGGGTTTTAGCCAATCAAGCCCACCGCAGCCAAGCCAAGCGGTGACCGACCTAAGCGGGCTCGGCACTGTTGCGACACCGCAGCATTCTCACAAGCAGCATCGTAGTTGTCGTTGACTTGTTTTAGCTCTGGTCACTGCACGAGTACACAGCACATGGCCCATTTTACTTGTCTCTCTTCGAGGGTGTTGTCGTCAAGATTTTTTCTGTCCAAGCACCGCATGAGTTGGTCCCGGCCTTCTGATCGGCTCTGAGGAAAACAAGAGCAACGAGGGCCATGCCGAACTCGGACGTGGTTAGTCTCGCGATTTTTCGACGTGTCTCTACACTTCCTTTTCGTGTTCGGCCAGCCCCCGTGCCAACATTTCTGATGAAGAGAAACGTCCCTCCCCTTATGTCTCACGTGCGGCGCGCCTTGGCATTGGTTCTCCGCTGCCCAAAACACCACCACCGCTTGGTGGCGGCAGCCCGATGTTCGTGCTTCCGGTGTGGCGAGACGGGGGACACTTCATGATGCTCTCTCAGTACCAAGACAAGTGCTTCTTGCTCACCTACCTCGAGGTACGGCACGGAACGATGGATGGGTAGCGATGACGGCTCTTTGGTTGGAACCCCCGTTCGAAGTGTACGTGTCAAGGGTCAAGTATCAAGTATCCGCTGCGTCACGTTGCGGCGGCAGAAGTACTGTTATGTAGCACAACTGAATCAAATTTGCCCACTCATATGCAGTCCAAGCTGTGCTGATGTTGTTGTTTACCTTGGGGGCGCAAGGCCCAATTGTTGCTCCGCACAGCAGTGTTGTGGAGCCATTTACTGACTGTGTTTGGTGTCATTCCCCCTTGACGTGGAAACGCTGGGTGAATCGTTTTGGTACAGATTCAGAACCACTTGTGTTCGCCTACACAGACACCTTTCGCCGAGTGGTTTCAGTCATGCCATGCCTTGCCTTTTTATCGCACCAACGGACCAATTCGCGGAATAACGTGTCATGGTTGACATGCATGAAATGAAGAATCATGGGTTTTCACGTCTGAAACGTCTTTTTCGGTGTGTTGATTGCGCATTCCAACAGGATATACCCCCCCCCCCCCCCCCCCCCCCCCCCCCCCCCCCCCCCCCCCCCCCC